GAGAGAGAGAGAGAGAGAGAAAACTTACACATAGTAGTATAAGTGTCAAGACTACAAAACGAGAATTGAAGATCCCCACATCAAAAGTAACAAGTGAGAGAATGAAAAGGTAGAGGTGATCCTGATGGACCATGAAAGAGATGATGTCCATCAAAAATGTTCTTATGGCCATAAAAACATGGTCCTGAAGACCACAATCTAAATAACTAGTCCATAATAAAACTTTCAAATAAAAGTTGTTTTGGAACACATTAATAAAACTAAAACAAGTTCTGTTGATGATTTCGTTTAAATTTTGTCTAATCAACTCATGGATCTATATAAAGAGACACTGGAGTCCTTGATAATTATTGATCGGATTTTAAATGACTTGATGCCTTGCTTCTAAATCTTACATCTTAGAGTGAGGCTGTGTAAATTGTGCATGTCATGTGTAGTAAATATTGTCATTGTATGATGACATGGAGAGACGTTGAGATGTGGTTATAGGATATGGCGAGACGACTGCTTATGTCATTAGCCTTTATTCATGTTCACTGTACCATCTATATCATTCTTTTTACCCTAATTGAGGTTCATTGGGAATTACATCACAGTGTTTTCTTCACTTTGTAGCCTAAACGCTCAAATCTAAATGTATGGAAGGAGCTTCAAAGCTTTGATTCACCGATTGTCTCGAGGAGTAAGAATGAATATTAGGGGCTTGATTGCTCATGCTAAAAGAAGATTCTTGATAATAAGTTCAGAAGTTTTTGACACCATATCATAAAGATTAATATTTTTGGTTGTTGGGTGTCAGTTTGTAAGTGATTTCTGGTTCAAAAAAGAGGGGCTCACGCATATGCTTGCAATCGGCATGCTGTATCCCCTATAGTTCTCTTATGGATCTGTAATATACGGAGCACAAATTACATTCAACATTGACTGTGATCCAACCCCATGTGGTTGTGACTCTAAAACGATGTGAATTTTGTAGGCTGTTTTAAAACTGGTGATTAGCTGGATACACCATAACATCATCAGGTCGCCACTATATTGCTGTAGATCTCAATGTACCTAGCCATCCCAAAGGGCTCTTGGTTTGGTGGTTAACTTGAGACCTTGTAGGTTTGAGACTGTGCTGTACACATGCTTTTTCCCTATGAATGTGTAAGGGCAGCGATGCCAATCTCTACTTAATTACTTGATGATACCTCACTTTACCATTTGCCAATAATTTAGATCGAATTCTTTAGCAAGACTATAATGTAATGATGTGTGTAATCGACTTCTCTAACTTTTGGTATTTAATAGTATGGTGTGTGGCACACATTGGTAACAACTTAATGGTATTGTATACCTATATTTAAATAATGTGATTAATTAAAATCAGTGTTGCAAAATGCATTCATCTCACCGTATAGGTGGTTGACGGCCCTGAGAACACCGCCTATGGTAGGCGAGTGCCTAGTTCTCCCAAAAGGCAGCCGGCCTTTTGGTCCAAAAAAAGCAATTAGGCCCCAGGCAGGCACCTAGTGCCACTTTTTGGTGTCCTAGTGGGCAGCTCAAGAACCACTGGCTGAGGGTGGAAATAGCCCTTGGCGGGGTCATATTTGGTCACTTCTGCCCATAAAAGAGGGGAAAGCGGTTTTGGGGGCATCCTACCCCCCACCTCTTTGCTTGGTTTTCAAAGAGAAATCAAATCAAAATCAAATTCTTTTGAGATTTATTGATGATTTCTTGCAAAATTCCTGATGCTCTTCCAGTAATATAGTCGTTAACTTCACTCAAAAAGATGATTTCCTGCAAAATCAGAAATTATACAATCCAATTATATGTGAGATGAAGAGGTGTTTCAACGACCAAAGCTCACTGGTTTGAGCCAACTTTGATTGGGTTTCTGAAGGTAAGTATTCCTATTGGATTCGGATGCGCTGGCGGTGCTCCTCATAACCTGGAGATGGAGATGGAGATGGTGGTGTTCCTATTGGTAGTGGTGGTGGGCGTGATAATGATGATGAAACTCAATTTGAAATTTGAGTTAAGGAGATTTATTGTCTTGTTTTGTTTCTTTAAGTCCTTTTAGTTTTGATTTTTGTGATCTTCTGTTGTATATGATGGTTGATGTGGATTGTGGAATATGAACTGACTATGACATAGTGTCATGTAATGACGGATTATTTAACAAACTCTTTAGTGATTGGTATAGTTTTGTATGGATTCTGGGCGAGCTCATGTATATTTGAGTTTGAAATACTGCAACACAATAAGAAATATAAAACACCTTAAAAATAGTTTTTTTTTTTTAACTCTTATTACATAAGTTGAAGTGGGGGGTTGGTATCCAACCCAAGCCACCAATGGCATCCTTGAGGCTCCAGAACATTTCCTGTGTTTGGTCTGCTTGGGAAACTTCGCGCCCGCCTATCTGAGTTTTTGGATACTGTTTGGCATGTAACCTCTCAAATTTCATTCAAAATTTTCTAGTTTATTCTTTACCCCAATTTTAAAATCCTAGATTGTTCTTTTTGTCATTGTAAAGAAAAAAGGAGTAACCACCTTGCTTTCACACATGGCACTATCTGTGTTTAAATGCATTTGGTTATAATCTATCAACAAGGAAAAATGCATTTAGGCATAATCTCAGTTGAAACTGTTTCTTTACATCTTGTGAAGTGGTGTTGGCAAAAATAACTGCTGTAGAATTCTGATATTTCAGCCAGTGTCAGAGGCATAGCATTTGTCTCTTCTTTTCATTCTCGTGTTTAATATTATTGCAGCCTTGTTGTCATGGGTAACAACACAGAATTTGAAAGAGCAGTTCTATGGCTCAGTGAAAACCTTACGTTTGATGTAGATGCTCGGATAAGTCTCTTTGAGGTACTTGATTCTATGTGAAGCTAATCTTATATATTGTGAGTTGAGTCTTCTGTTCCTATTAGGACTGAAAGATAAGGTTTCCCAGTTGTTTAGATGCTGGTTACTTGTTATAGACTTCCTGACATGGTGAACAAATCCTTCGCCTTTTCATTTTAGTGGTACAATGATGGTTTCTTCCAATGAAGATTTTTTGTTGCTGTGCAGTGCAACATTAGAGTTCTTGGAGGCCTGGTTTCTGCCCATCTTCTTGCTACTGATTCTTCAAAAAGGCTATCTCAAGGGAAGTACAACAATGAGTTACTTGATCTAGCTAATGATTTGGGGCGTCGTTTCTTATGGGCATTTAATACTTCCACTGGCCTGCCCTATGCATGGATTAATCTTAAGGTATAAGGCTTCAAATCATTTTTGCAACATTGTCTCCTCATATTGGCAAAAACCTCGATTAAACGCTTTGCTGGTTCACTGATCTATAATTGCTTTTTGTGATGCTTCAGTGTTTTCCTTCCATGTACTTTAGTTCAATGTACAGTCAGTGTGCAGCTTTCATCCACTTTTTATGTGTTAGTGCTATGTTGGTATTAGATAAGGGAGAGAATTTTTTATTTTTATTTTTCGGGGATTCGTGGCAATGATGTGAATGCCACTGGATCTATTTCACATATAGTCTTGATGGAATTTTATTCATTATTTCATTGTTGTGCACAGAAGAGAATTAATTGTAAGCTGTGTTGAACACGGGGCATGATAAACATGATGATATGTCTATGCGCCTAACTTTTGACTTGGTTACATGCAGTGTTTTAAAAAGCGGATCGCCCAGCACTGGGCCGGCCGCCTAGGCAGTCGAGTGCGCCCAGGCCTAGGCAGCCAAATTAGGCGAGTATCCTTGGGCGCCGGCCCCGGGAACCCGCCTAGGCGCCTGCCTAAACCCACCTAGGGCCTGCGCCCCGCCTAGGGGCAGAAATACGGCTCCTTAAGGGTATTTTTGGGTCATTGTTTTAATACTAAAGGGGCAAAATTATGGGTTTTAGGTTCATTTGAAACCTAAAACTTACTAGAGGCTATTTTAGAGAGAGAAAACCCAAAAATAAAGTCTATTGGGTTGCCTCGGTTCTGGGAACCTGCCTAGGCGCTGGGCGGCTTGGACCCCCCCGATGGCCTAGGTGCTACCTAGCGCTTTTGAAACACTGGTTACATGTGATTTGACATATATTTTCAAGGTAATGGACATGAATAGGGCATCTTACAAGTATTGTTTCATCAATTGGGAGGACACATTTTTGAAATGCTATACTTGAATCTAAAAGCATTCATTTGGTGCTTTTTATGTGTTTAGGCTGGAAACTTCCTCGTTATTCTCTTAAATGCATCTTTCTGCATAGAATATCCAATGTCTATAATGTCCAATGTCTTGTCTTTATTTTTATTATTTTTAAATGGACTATCCAATTTAGCATCTGATGTCAACAACAGATGGTTCGAGGTGTGCGTTCATCCATCATATTTTTCTTTGAAGGTGATTGAAGGAAAGACATGATGAAGCTGCCCCTAGTTGATACCGAATGGTCTGTGGACCTGTTTGTTATGTACATGCAATTATATTTTGTACTTCTTTTTTAATATAAGTTTATCTAAATAATTCATGTCAAGTCAAAGAAATTGGCAATGGATAAGTTCCAAGGCCCAACATGAGACCATGCTTGTAGTGTATGTGCTAATTCTGAATGAGAATTAGGGACACTGCTATTACTTGAGGTGTTGAGTCTACCTGAGTTTGAGGGGCACAAGGTGATGGATTTTGTTAGGAATTGGGGATTGGATTCTATTTTGACACCTCATATCCCTTGACCGGTCGTGGGCTGGTCTTCCCCCACAAAGGCAAAGTTAGAACTGCTAAAAGTGGACTTTGATGATTGTTCTCAGGGCTATCTAGGCCCAGCCAGGATGGGAGTTACTTTTTGAGATGAAGCACGCCATAGGATTAAAGCATATTCTGGTCCATTGGGTTAGCGTGACTCAATGGGGGCCGAAGGCATTGCTGGGGGCTTTGTGTTGTGCTCATTTGATATAGGCATATTGTTAGTGGCGTAGGGAGATTGATGAATGCGATTTTGATTTGTGGGGCAAGGAGGGCCCTTTTCCAAGGCACTTAAGGACAACCTTCATGGAGATCTGAGATCTTTGATACTTGTTATGGGTGGAAGATTTCTTTCCAGCATGTTCTACAAGCGAATGAGGATGCTGATGTTCTACTAGAGGATTGAAAAGGAAGGGTTGGTAGGCTATAGGGTTGTGATTTGTTTTGGGAGCTGAGATGTCCTTTGAAACCCCCGATTTTTGCCCCCCCCCCCCCCCCCCAACAATTCTCTTTGTCTCTCCTTTTTTTCTTTTAGATCTTTTCTTTGGTTTTACGTTTCACCTTTGGATAATTGTCACTCGTGAACTTTGTTGCACATATGGAAAATCCTGGAGTGAGGCTTATAAAGAGAGACCTATACCCCGTTCACGTTTTTTGCCTTTTTAGTCTGACAAATTCACTTATTAGAAGTCTTTATATTTAAAGAAATGGCCTCATGAAGTCCTTTATATTAGGCCTAGCAAAGGGCTGGGCCTGCCCTGGTCCAGCCCTTGTCCCCATAGGGCTGCCCTGCCGCGAGAGTGCCAAAGAAGCCCTGTACCAGGCCCAAGCCTAGCCTGTCAGGGCTGGTCTGGGCCAAAAACAAATGAAAAAAAAAAGGGAAACCAAGAAAAACGAGGGCTGGGCTGAGCTGCCAGGCCCAGCCACCGGGCCACTTTTTGTGGCCCAGGCCTCATCTTTTTATGGCCGGACCGACCAGGCCAGGCTGGGCTGGACCACCTGGCCAATTGCCAGCCCTACTCTATAGTTAGAAAAACCAAAGGGAGGAAAACAATTTCCAAACAAGTTTTGAATTTGCGACTTGTACTAAGTCGGAAAGTGTAGTTACTGAAATATTCCATCTAAGGTAGCTCCTGCTCCAAGGATACGGTTATGCAGTTCGCGAGTTGCAAAGTGTTCGTAATGTGTAGCCATCCTCTTGGGAACACCTTTCCAGTCTTTTTGGGAACTCTTTTTACTGGTGTTGTTAAGTAAGAGTCCCCTCTCCCTTTTCACAGGCTCCATAGTGGGACTTTAAAAATACATCTTAACGTAAATTTTGGGTTTTAAAGATGGGGGAAACATTTAGACCAAATTATAAAGAGAAGACTCTTTAAGGCAAGGCTTATGAGGCGCAGCTCTTGGAGTTGAGAGAGGAAGTTCAATCACTAAGGGGCAATAATCATGTGGGCAGGCCAACCAATGAAGAGCTGGCTTTGAGCATCAAAGTCCTTTAATTATATTTGCTCCCATCCATTATTCCATATAAGATTATTGCCAATTTCTGCAGTTTTCTCATTGTACTATTTGCTGGACACAAGAATTATTAATTAATTATGTGTCATGCACATGCTTATTGTGTGCCTGGACTCGTAAATTTCATCAATTATTGAGGGTCATGCACCTATCTCGTCAAATATATCCTGAAATTGCCGAAGCTTAAGAATAGATCCATCCATTTGTGCGGTATATCCGCATGTTGAAGTTTGACGCTCATGTCCAACCTTCCTAAATTCCAACACTATTTTCATATTTTCTCCTTTATTCTCATAGACTTTGTGTTGTATGCCACCAAACATGGTCCTCGCATGGGCGCCTCCTGTTGCCATGGTGCCTCTGTAGAGAGAGTTATTATTAACTGCAAACTGAGCCCAATCTTGCCCATATCTTCATGAAGTTGACTTGTCAATGTTAGAGTTCTCTCCTTTCCTATATTTTTCCATTGATCTTGCAATCTTGCATTAAGCTGCTGGAATTTCCTCGCCCAAATAACTACTTGTATCTATGTCTTCCATTTATTGTGGCGTAGACCTAGTAGCTTGAGCTAGGGTTTTAGCAAAGAAGAAGATAGGGAAGATCCAAAATTAGAAAAAGATGCAAAAACCAAAGATAAAAGAAGGAGCACTTGCTGTTCTAGGGTTTTGAATAAAAATCCATAATACCCATTATGGTTGAGTACATCCTTTATATAAAAAAATCCTAAACAAGACTTAATCCTGGCCATCCATCTAATCTAATCATGGCCCTTTATTATAAAAGGCTTTAAGTGAATTGAAAGACAAAAAACTCTAGAAATTATTATTTATTCCCCTAAGTGAATAAAAAAGACTCAAGAAATAAATAAACGACATAAAAGGATAGACTCGATGACTAATTTGCCCTTTTGTGCTCCCTCCTGTAAACTTTAAGCTTATCTCTCTTGTCTAAATACACGAGAGGAATATTCTGGGCTGCATCTTCTTCATTTCCTCTTACTGTCCAATATGGGAAATTCACATTTACAATGACATTGACCTTTATTTGTTGTAAATTGACAGATTTTTTGGCAAATTGGTAAATACACATCGAAGCTTCTATTTGGAATTTGCAAGTATTACTGTAGAGTGAAAGGTTCAAATGATTTTAACACTTTAATTCTGGAGTCTTTTAGTATTATTATATGACATAAATGTTTTCTTTTCTTATCAACAAATTACTTTTAATATCGAAGTATTTTTTAAAATTTCAATTTGCTAATGTACTTTTATATGTTCTAAGTATTGTTATGCGGCAACTTGTTGAATTTTCTGCAGTTGAAATGTTAGTGCAGGGTTTTTCTCTTCCTTCAATAAAAGTTATATGTTCCAGAGCATATTTTTGTGTTGCTGAGATTGACATAGCATGATTATCTAGTAATGGAATAGATGGCATCAATATCAGAGCTTCTTTTAAATCAGTTCAATGTAAAAGGACAAAAGGTCATTCTTAAACAAAATAGATACTTCTGAGATGTAGGATGCAATCATGGAAAGGACCATAGGGGATGAAAAGCACTTCCCTAATTGATTTTATTGTTAAAAGTTGCACATAATAATGATGTTGGTGTCCTTGATTGACAGCATGGAGTGATGGAAGATGAAACAACAGAGACAAGCACATCGGGGTGTGGTATGGAGCTATGCTACTTGTCTTAGTTCATACTTAACATGACATACTTATAGGGTACATGTCTGCTTTATAAATGCAGGTTCTCTCATTCTTGAAATGGGGGCATTATCGCGATTGACTGGTAACCCTATATATGACGCTGCAGCTTTACGTGCTCTTCGTAAACTATGGAGTATGAGAAGTTCTTTAAATCTCTTGGGTACAACTTTGGATGTGGAAACTGGGGAATGGTTAGAGTACTCTTCTGGAATTGGAGCCGGTACTTCAAACTTTTCTCTGATTTCATGGTCATTTTTTTTCTTTCTACTTCATATCTATAATTTGTGCTAAATGTAAATAAGCTTGTTGACTGCCGGTCACTGTTACTTGACTAAAATAAGAAATTGTGTTTTTTTGTTGGACTGAGGAATTTTACGTTTCACAGATTCAGCTCAATCAATATTTTAGGCTTTTATAGACTAATATCTCAAAAGCCAAGTCAGTGATTGAATATGGACTTTAACAAGTATACTTTATTGTGCTACATTCTAGGCATTGATTCATTTTACGAGTACCTCTTGAAAGCTTACATTCTTTTCGGAAGGGATGAGTTTTGGCACATGTTCCATTCATCATATTTGGCTGTTCAGAAACACTTCCGGCATGGCCCATGGTGCTGTTCTAAACTTTTATTATTATGTTTTCTTTGTATTCAATATGCAAAACAATTGACTGGCACCTGTTTGATGATGCTGTGTTTCAATTGTACTTGGTGAATGGAATGTGTTTTGATGCTTAATTATTGATTACATGAGTTGAGCTCATCTAAACATGAAATGTCAATACAAACTCATGATATATGTGCAATGCAGAGCGGGGTTTTGATGGTTTCTGATGTCAGTTTTGGCATGCAACCAATACATAAGGTCTTGGAGCAGTTTCCAATTAATGCTCCTTACATTTGTATGTCATGAGTTTCATCATAAAATTGATATGGAGAGCACTTCGATAAATTCTGGCATTGGAGGCTTATGAATCACCCAACCCCATCGCTCATCGTAATGCTTATCAGACTATTCTGCACTTATCAGACTATTCTGCACTTAGGGATCTTAATTCTGATTCAAGAACACATTACCTGTGTTACAATGTAGTGGATTTTCAGTGATAAATCAATGGTAGGTCCAAGCATAGAGAGGAATAGTGCAAGGCGGGCGCATAAGCTATTGCTTGTCTCCAATGTTTGATTATTGGGAAACCTTTTTCTCTAAGGGAAAGATTGATTTTGGAGTCGATAGTCATTGCATCAGCAATATACAGAACATTGGGTAGATATTAAAAATGTTTTCCACGTGTAACCTTGATCGAGAGATATTTTGGGCGCACTCCCATTTAGTGAGTTGTAGAATCTGGGGAATCGACTCTTCATAGTATTTCCAAGTTTGCAATGGAAACTTCACTAGCTGGGTATAAAATATTGATAGGTACCCAATTATGTGTTGATTGCAAGGGATGCTGACTCTAAAAAGTTGGTAGTTGAGTTACCCAATTATGTGTTGGTTTCAAGGGATGTGGACTTAGAAACCTTGTAAGCCAAGACAATGTGAATACACTGTCATGGTTGATACATTTGTACTGACATGATGTAATGCATATAGTTATGCATTTTTTCTTTTTTCCGTTTTTTGCTTTTCTTTTATTTTGTTTCGTTTACTAATGAAAATTTTCACATAATTTTCACATCTTAGCTTTATGTAACATTACAAGCTCAAACTGACCTATACTCTAAGACTTTGCTTGATCCCTTCATTCTCTTTTGTGTTTTTTCTTGATGAGATCTCTTTTCTAGCAAAAGTATGTTAGGCCATGTCTTGCTTTTCACTCGCTTTGTCTCATTCTCAGAAAATACTTTTAGCAACTGGGATTGAGGATTTGACCAATTACCTCTTCAATCTCCCAAGGTTTTGTATATTTATCTTGTGTTACAGTGACGGATTATATTTGCAGTGCATTGGTAGACTTGTGATATGGCTTCTTGCTAGAATGTAATGTTACTAACCAAATCTTGACTGTAGTAATGAATTAGCTCATCTTTATACTTCATCAAGCTCTTACAAGTTTTCATACATAACCTTGATGGGGTTTATATTTGGTTAAGTTTCAGGTATCATGAGGCAGACATGAGAACAGGAAAGGCTACTTATTGGCAACTTACAAGCCTTCAAGCATTTTGGCCAGGTCTTCAGGCTAGTATTCATAGTGCTTTACCTGATGATAATTTGCAAAGGGTCTTCGGAATTTTGACCAACATATCATGTTACTTGCTGCAGGTTCTAGTTGGAGATATTCCAGCTGCGAATTTAACTCATCGTGAATTTTTTTATGTATGGAAAAGGTTTGGAGTTTTACCGGAGAGGTATTCATGACCTTCATTGCCATTTGGCAAAATAAAAAAAAAAAAATCTGTTTTATCTGTTCAGTTATTTTTGAACCATGATTTGGTTTCACCTATTTTAGAACCTTTAGTTTCAGCATTCTATCTTCTCTTTTAAGTTTCTCACTTTGTCTATATTTTTCTTGGGCATACTTCAGCCTCTGTGTGGATGTGTTAACTGATGTGTTACTTCTCCCATGATATAGTAAATAGTAAGACGAACTTCTTAATTCTGAAGTTATCTAGTTTCTTGTTGAACATGGCATGTATATTGTCGCTGGAATTTATTATTACTATTTACTAGGATCCTAATGAATTGAAAGGTCCTTAAATGGAATATTTTTCTGTACTCATGCATGATTCTAGGAGAAGTATTCTTGTATGATTCTAAGAAAATTATTTGATTGCATATTCATGTCAGATTGATGCAGGGATATTTGAGGGAATAGTAAAATCAACAGAGAACAAAGCCAAACACAAGTATAATTCAAAGAATCCTAGGGCTTCTTCTCCATACCCCAAGCTAGGGTTTCAAAATCCTAAGCTTTTCTCTCTTTTAATTTCTAAAATTAATGTATAATTGACCCTCTCAAGGCCCCACACACATCTTATATATTATAATTCATTGTTCAAAGACATCACATGTTCATGCAATGATTAAAATGACCTATATATCTTTACACAAAATTAAAAATAAATATAATTTTAACCTTCATCATTCTCCCCTAGTTGGAGAAAACTCGTCATTGAGTTTTGAAGTGTGCTAAGATGAATTCAGCATCAAAACCACCTTCTTCAACCTTCTTTTTCTTTGTTGGCTTAAATATTATTTTTTATTAAAATAATTATTCAAGAAACGGATCCTTATATGTATATTGAGGAATCAGGGCCACAATTTGTAGATTCTGAATCGACCATACTTCCATTGTACTACTCCAATTCCAATACCCTAAATTTCTTGAATGCATTACCTCTTTGATATTAATGAGATCTTCAAAGGCCACGATTTTGATCAGTCCTCATGTTACCTTCTCTCCATATTCTTCACCATCTTCCAAAATATCTTCACCATAATTGTAATCCTTATCATAGATTGGATCTCCTTCAAGATATTGTCTTCATCTAAGTATGCGTCGAAGATTGGAGGTGAATATCAATTTACAACTTGCTGATTTTCGATGCAATCTGGGTGAAAATCAAGAATCCCATCATTCAAATCGAAAACACTGGACTGATGATCTCCACTTCTAGGTCTTCTGTCACTATCCTCATCACTCAACTCCACACGCAGAGTACGATAGTGAAAAAGGCTTGTACTTGAGATCCTCTTGAGCTAAAAGATCATCGTCTTGCCCATTAAAGAGACTCACGAACTGCTGCGTCAATTGCTGTACCTTCCTTTCAAGTTCTTCAATTTTGTTATCTATGGGATCATAGAGTGAATCTATGAAAATCCTCTTTCTACAGCCCCTTCTCGCAGTCATGGGTTCGTCGAAATAACAAAACCCTAGGCAAATGATTAACAAAAAAAGTGCTGAAATCAGTAAGATCTAGGTTGTTTTGACAAAGCTTTGGTCAAAATCAGCAGACCCTAGACCCCCATTGTAACTTCCTTACTTTGTTTTTGGCCTAGGGCACCAAAAACATAGTGCTACAGTAACACCGTACAGTGCTACAGTTTTTTCATGCACTGGTATAATACTTTCTATGTAGATCGCGGGCTCTGATATCAATTTGATGCAGAGAAATTTGAGGGAACAGTAAAATCAGCAAGGAACAAAGCCTCAAGTATAATTCAAAGAAACCTTGGGTTTCTTCTTCATATCCCAAGCTAGGGTTTCAAAAGCCTAAGCTTTTCTTTCTTTTAATTTCTAAATATCACGTGGAATTCATCCTCTCAATGCCCCACACACATCTTATATATTATAATTCAATGTTCAAAGACATTACATATCCATACAATGATCAAAATAACTTATATATCATAACTTAAACTTAAAGTCTGTAATGACAATTATACCTCTGTGAACAGTACTCGTGATTAGTACTTATGAATAGTCCTTATGAAATAAAAATAAAAATATTACGACCTTAGAATTCCTAAAAAACTAAAAATCCTAAAGATAAATTCTAAAACTTAAATCAAAATATACATCCTTTAAAAATGAATAAAATTAAAAATAAGTATAATTTTTCCCTTCATCACAGATAGAGGCCATTTTTTTGGCTGTGTTTTTGAATTTCATATTATTTACTCCCAGTTTTTCAACTAATGTGAAGTTATTATTTTAACAAACAGGGAAAATACCATTATCAGGGAAAAAAAAAAAAAAAGCAGGGAAAAGACCCTTTTTTTTGTAGATCTAAAATTAAAATTGAGTAATGTTTCCTAGGGCAACCACAAAAACATCTATGCCTTTTATTTTGAAGTGAAACATACGATGCAGCTGCCCCTTGTGATGCTCCTCAGGATGTAACATTGATACTATGATTGGTCTATGTTTTTATCATTAATCATTAACCCAAGCTAGCGTTTCAAAAGCCTAAGCTTTTCTTTCTTTTAATTTCTAAATATCATGTGGAATTCATCCTCTCAATGCCCCACACACATCTTATATATTATAATTCAATGTTCAAAGACATTATATATCCATGCAATGATCAAAATAACTTATATATCATAACTTAAACTTAAAGTCTGTAATGACAATTATACCTCTGTGAACAGTACTCGTGATTAGTACTTATGAATAGTCCTCATGAAATAAAAATAAAAATATAACGACCTTAGAATTCCTAAAAAACAAAAAATCCTAAAGATAAATTCTAAAACTTAAATCAAAATATACATTCTTTAAAAATGAATAAAATTAAAAATAAGTATAATTTTTCCCTTCATCAAAGATGGAGGCCATTTTTTTGGCTGTGTTTTTGAATTTCATATTATTTACTCCCAGTTTTTCAACTAATGTGAAGTTATTATTTTAACAAACAGGGAAAATACCATTATCAGGAAAAAAAAAAAAATAGCAGGTAAAAGACCTTTTTTTTGTAGATCTAAAATTAAAATTGAGTAATGTCTCCTACAGCAACCACAAAAACATCTATGCCTTTTATTTTGAAGTGAAACATAATATGCAGCTGCCCCTTGTGATGCTCCTCAGGATGTAACATTGATACTATGATTGGTCTATGTTTTATCATTAATCCATAACAAAATGAATGGAAGGGAGAAGTTGAGTAGTTTAAACATGGTCGTTCCTTTTTCTTGGAAAAAGGTTGTAGTTCCAAGTATGATTCTTCTTATTCTGGAGATATATCCATAGTCCACTGAAAAGCATTTTGAATTGTTTAGGGTTCCATTACAACATGTGAATCTGTTTATTTAATTCCTATGGAAGATTTGGAATGAGCATCTTCCATTTTTTGAGCTTTTTCTTTTATTCCATATGAGTGCCTTTGATTGATATAGCTTGTGCTTTGTTGAATTTTTGTCTAGATATTTACTCGATCGGGCAATGCTCCATCCTACTGAAAAATATTATCCTTTACGTCCCGAACTCGCAGAGTCCACTCTTTATCTTTATCAAGCTACAAAAGGTATGCCTGCTTCATATAGGATCATTATTGTTGAAATTTGAATATAATCTCAAGTTCTAAAAAGTAACAGACATATAAAAAAATGGAAAATAAATAAATAAAAGAGAGTAGTTGACAGGAACTCTGTTTCCTCAGCTGGCCTTTTCAGACCTAGCTTATTCCCGATTTGTATTTAAACTCTATAAACTGTGCTTCGTGTAATTTACAAGAATATCTTCCAGTTCTTGAATAACATGATGCAGAACTACTTATTTTGAAACTCAACAGTCGTGTCACTACTGCCCTTATAATTTGTTTCTGTTATATCTTTTCAGATCCATGGTACATTGATGTTGGGGAGTCAATTATGAAATCTCTTAATATGTACACAAAAGTGGATGGTGGATTTGCAAGTATAAGGGATGTGAGTACCATGCAACTTGAAGACCATCAGCATAGTTTTTTTCTTGCCGAAACGTAAGTATTTTTTGATAATTGAGCATGCATTTAACAGATTTGCAAAAAAATTCAGGGATTCTCTTTAAGATGTCATTGACTACAATGGTCGCCCCGCTTGCAGGTGCAAATACCTTTATCTTCTCTTTGACAGTTCATTTTTGGCCAGTGAAAATTATGTCTTTACCACTGAGGGCCATCCTCTCCCAGTAAGAAGCTCCTGGCATGATTGGCTTCCAGATGTCTCTATGCCTACTGATGTAACAAGTGTCAAGGTGATATTCTGTTATTTTGCAGTATATATTAACATAAATCTACTGAAGATAATGACTGGGAATATAATTATTAAAGTGAAAATTAATGGTCATTTAAGATGCTCATCATGGAGTGAGTTAGTAACTAACTTCTAATGCTTTAGCATGAGATTTCTTACTTTTCCATGGACTATACGATTTAAAATTTCTACTGTGTCAATGTTGAAAGCATGGGGCAGTTTTTATGTTTTCTATGTAGATATTTGAAAACCCAAGTTCTGGGAGAAATGTTTTGACACAAGCGATCACATAGGGACAAAATGGCCTAGTCTTTTGTATGAGCAACACTATATTGTCTAGTATGGCCTTCTGGCCTTAGTTACCCTCATTGGAACCAAATTTTCATTGATCTGACTTGTACTTCTGGCCGTTATCCTTTCCACAAGTTGCTAGAATTATTACATACTCGAAAAAAAAGCAAGAATAAATACCTTTGAACACAAACTGTTGCCAGACCATTTTCTTCTGTATTTTATTTTTTTTAAACAGATATAATTGGGGATATGGTTTTCTCTTGTACTGTTTTATGTTTTCTTGTTGGTCAAATGCATGCATGTGACATGTCCATCAAATCAATTTTAGAGCTCTACGAACCTACGTGTGTTTCCTAAAGGTTTTCTATTGGTCTGATTGTTGTGAAGGAATGTTGTGCAGATTAACAACCTATCAACCAAATCAAGCGCACTTTCATCCCAAATTTGCCCTGCTCTGTTAGCCACTTTAAAGGAGGACCAGCCGGTTGAGAGCGCATGTCATATACATGATGGCCGAGCCAGCCATAGATGTGAGAGCCACGAAGAGTGTGGCATTGATTCGACCACATGTAGGCAGAGAAGTTGTAGTCTAGCTGGCTATTGTGGACTATGGTTGTTGATTTGATTATTTATCATCCACTTCGAATGGTGTACCTCTCAATTTTTTCGGATGCCAAATAAACAAGATGACACCATATGCAGCGAATTTTGCTAATGCGGCATTTAGTTTTGAGGTCTCAAGCTGCAAACCCAAAGATATGCAATTACCTTCCCAATTGCCGGGAAACTTTTCCTTTAATGTAATATAGTGTTGTTCATCATGATATTTACAGAATGAGAAAGAAGAAAACAAAGTGTGGTGAACTCCAGATAAACCGTAAATCTCTGTGGATTGGGTTGTTTAACTGGGGTCTAGCAGACCCTTGATAGTTCAAAGTAAAATATTTTCTTTTTTTTTTCTTAGAAGCATTCTTCTATGATGAAATATGTAGTTCAACATGAGGAATGCAATCCTTCACAGACTTTGAATAATGCGCTCAATTTATAAATGGATGCAGGAGATTTCTGATGCTAAAGATTTTATTGTGAAATTGGAACCTTGTGAACAAGCGTTTTTGAATCTGACTATTGTGAGCAAGAGTTTCTAAATGGTTTGTATAAGGCAGTGTAGCTTTCACATGGTGGTGCATCGTCGACCATTGATATGGTTCTACATGGTTGCAGGGCTGACAAAAGAGAGAGAGAGAGAGAGAGAGAGAGAGAGAGTAGTTATGTATA